TTTGCAAGAACTTTCACCATAACATATGTTATGTTGATCATTTTTTTGTGATCTGCAACAGTGTCCACTATGCTATGTCACATCAATTGATTTTCTATATGTAAATTTAAATTTGAAATTCGTGTCATATGAAGCTTTTTTAAAATATCTCAATATTACTTTAAAAGACTTGATAGTAAATGAGAAGGTGCAGAATACTTTAAGCCTTCATATGGTCATTACTTTATGGGGGTATTGGTTAATAAGTTTTAAAGAGGCTCATGGAAAACTATTTTATAGAAATTTAATAGTCATGAAGAATTTTTGTAGATGGGATTCAAGCAAAAGCTAAAAGGCATTTTATTGGTGATTGTTTTATATTTCTGACTTTATATTATTAAAGTTTCATTAATGATTATTATGAATATCCATTAATCAGTAGTTGTTATAACAACAAATAGCAAATGACAACAACAAATTGTCTTTTTTGAGGATGATAAATAAAGATAAAGATCCAGTTTGTATAGGAGTTTGAAGTGACAAGATCCACGAGGCTTGCAAAATATGGGCATGCTGCAACAAAACCAGACAAAGTGAACATTGGTATTATCAAAGATTTCAGGGATCAAAATTTAATAATGTGATTATTAAAATTTTCCATTTGTTATCTTCTTAATATTAAGTGGTGTATAGAATTACTTCTATATAGAAATGGTTAATATGAAACTCATTTACATTAGATCTACTATGGAACTCAAGAATTACAAGTATTTTGAGAAAGGAACAAGGTGAAAAAATTGCTCCTTACATTTTCAAAATAAATGATACTCAGACACTGGAAGCTTATCTAAGAAAAGAAAAGATTGTCTATGAAATTACCAAGAAGAAAGAAAAATAATAAATGTTGGAAAAAGAAAACACTATGATGATGCATTATTACCTAACAAAAAGCAAAAATCTTTAAAAGGAAAATAATTACCACTTTCTTTGATAGTTAAAATGAATTTCAATTTATACAGAATATTCTTTGAACTACTTTCTTATTTTCAATCAAGATCATCTTTAGACTCTTTGACTTCAATTTGTGCAGTTAATTTATCATTTTGTTGTAATTGTTCTAACTGGTTCTTTAATTTCTCATTCTCTGCCTCACAAGCATTTAATTTATTGACTAACACTTGAGAGGTTAAAATTTTCAATTGTTCAATTTTCTGAGTCAATTTAATAATCTCTGCTTCTTGTTGTTTAATCTTATCTAACAACTCTTGTTTTTGACTTTTACCTCACTCTTCTGACTTTTTCTGAAACTTGGCTACTTCTTTTCTTTCAATTTTTAATTCTTCTTTGGTAATTGATAACTCTTTTTCTAGTTCTCTAGTTTTATATTTTCTAGGCAAAAATTGAAAGCTTGTGAAAGTAGTTCTTTGTCAGAAAGTGGTTTAGTTGATTTAGCTTTGGAATGACTACAAAAACATCTGTTTCTATTCCTTTTTAACCTATCACATTTCTCACATCATGGAAGAGTATTATTATCATAATCATTTTACATTCACCACAGATAAAGACAATGTCAGAATAATCATCAGGAGTATTACAAGCCACCACATCAGGAAAATGGGTACAAATATTATGCATATATAATACACAATTGCGTACAAATCATGTATTTTTTTATGTATGCAAATTGTACATATATTATATGCTTAATCCCTGCAATTGCATATTATATACGCATAATATTTGTACCCATTTTCCTGATGCAGATCTCTGGGGTTCACAAGAATAAATAAATAGGGAGGATCAAAAAAAAATTATCCCTTTCTATTGTATAGTTCTTTATGAATAGAATAATAAATCTGATGTTGCTCACAGGTGTCAGATTAATAAAACTTTCCTATCACAAACATATGGTTGGGTGCTTTCACATGCCTCATAACTGTAGAATTTTTTCCTCAGGTGAAGGTCCCCCATGCTGGAAGGCTATTTCAATGTGGGCAAAAATTTCCCTAATATTTTCCTCATACCAGACTTGACTGTTATTATAGGGCATTGATTGTTGGCAAGAGTTGGTTAGTATCAGAAAAGGAGAGAATTTAGGAAAATAATTAATTAATAAACACTATTTTATGACTTTCCCCTTAACATCAGAGTACACAAATTCGATTTTAGAGTCCCCAACCCCATCCTGCCATCTTTACCCCTGAGGCAGGATCATGCTTGACTGTTGTCATGCACTAGCATGTATATCCCAGTAATGTTTGTATAAGAAATATCAGTAGGATTCACAGGGACCTACCAATATTTTCTCACAGCACTAAGACTGACATTATATCCTTAAAAATGATGCAGCTTCAATAAACTTCAGAGCCATACTACCCCCCTGAAATTTTAATTGCATCTTTGTATCTTCGGGGGATGAGGTCAAACTAGCCTTGCAAATACAAAAAAAAGATAGGAATGACTGTAAATGTTGAAGATGTCATGTGTGTCTTGACATATATAAATTTCCAATAATCAGACATTATTATTATACTGTTTCAAATTACCCAGAAGCAGTTTCCCACTTCTTATCTTTAATTTGCCTCTCTCCCTTGACATCTTAATACTATTTAATATCAAATAATGGTTATATGAAAAATAAAATGATACCAATCATTTAGTATTATCAAGATTCCAATAAATATCTAAGACATACAAGTTCTGCTCCACGTTTTGATTTCATTTATAATATTTATAAAGTAATAAAAGGCATGTATTGTCAATACATAAAAAAAATGTACCTCTTGCCATTAATAAAAACACTTCTTTGTAATCATGCCAACTAAATTCGTTTTCTTGCAAAAAATAAAAAGTGTTGTATGCATAATAATCATAATAATAATAATAATAAATTAGTCATACATGCATTTGTCAATCAATAACAATTTTTTCAAAAAAAAAAGCCCAACACAGATAAATCAGTAACAGGAAAAAGACAATTAGAAAAAAACATAGCTCATATTAATACAAAAAGAGATAAAGAAGCTGAGGAAGAACATGCAGATAAAGAAATTGTAGGTGATATAGATGATAATACTACACATATTATAAATATTAAATTGTTTTGTTAATGAATTGATTTTTTTTAAAAATATCTAAGTCCTTTGCAAGAAAGAGACAAAGACAATTTACAACAAAAGATTCATCAGAGTAGGTATTTTTGAGGATGGCAGTTATAAATATTATTTCTTTAAATTTTAGTGACAATAATATTAATTTTGATCAATTAATTATATATTTGGTGGTTTTGACCTCATTGTGTTTACTTAGTGAACAATCATTAACTACTGATGCTGTTACTAATATTACTAATTTTGTAAGTAAATTATGTTCATAAGTTTCAACCTTTTTCATAAATGAATTTGTCATTAAATTTTTCTATTCAGTGAAGTTCATTATTAAATTACAAGAAACAATTGACAATATCAATAATCTCAACAATGATAAAGCTAATGGTATTCTCCAAAGTGTACCAGAAGAAAAAAACACAATAATAAATTTATTAGACAATTTAAATAAAAAAATTCATCCCACAACTACAACCAATCATACAATCAATCAATAATGAAATAACAACAATAAATAAAAATAAAAATAACAATAAAAATAGAAATATTCTTTCTTCAACAATCAATGCAACTACTACAGTTAATAACAAGTTTGAATTAAATTCTTTAGTAGTTACTGACACTATTCTAGGTAATATATTTACATCTATTTTTATTATTATTAATTTTAAAGTCTAATCCATCAAGGTACTTTATTAGTTTTGATTGGATTGAAAGAATTTATTTTTAAAAAATAATTAGGTTATGGAAGTCATAGATCCATTGTTTATAAAGGGACATTTGAAAATCAAGAGGTTGCAATCAAACGTTTATTAATTGATTTTTATGATATCATTCATCATGAAATATCATTACTTCAAGATAGTGGTGATCACCCAAATATTATAAGGTACTACTGTAAAAAAAAAACTGAACATTTCTTATACATTGTATTAGAATTTTGTCCTGCATCTTTGCATGATCTGATTGAAAGAAGATCAAAACCTGAATATGCCTATTTATTAGATAATATAGTTTCTTCTAAAATTCTTTTCCATATTATTTCAGGTTTACATCATTTGCACTCAATTAAATTGGTGCATCATGATATCAAGCCACAAAATGTTTTAATAGCTACTTCTAAACACATAAAAAAGATGACATCACTTATCATGAAATGCCAGCAATTCGTGCCTTGATCTCAGATTTTGGGTTGTGTAGAAAGTTAGGCGATTCCAGCAGTTCTTATAATACTATTAATAATCCAAGTGGTACTATTGGTTGGAGAGCACCCGAATTATTATTATCACCTTCACCATTATCATCATCAGCTGGTTGCATCAGGAAATTAATTTAGTGTAAACCTTACAATGCCAATGTAATATTGTGTAAATCTTATGGTGCTGATGTAAGTTTTACACTTTTTTATTATTAAACTTATGATTGACATGTGCAAATTTTTTTTATATTTTCTGGATGTGTACATGTAGGATAACAAATAAAATTGATGATTTTTTCTAAAGGTTGCTTATTTTATTATATACTTTCCAGAGGTGAACATCCATTTGGGGATTGGTATTCCAGAGAAAACAATATTTTGAAAGGAATTTATAATTTAGATAAATTGAATGATGTGGGAGAAGGTATTGAAGCTAGAAATCTAATTGAATGTATGATTGAACATGATCCTGAAAAAAGGTAATGATATACTTGTATATGCATGTATAAACATATTAACTGATATGCATACAATTTTTTAATAGGCCAACTTAGTATCAGTGATGGTACATCTATATTTTTGGTCTTCAACAAAACGACTTCAATTCTTACAAGATGTATCAGATAGGTTCGAAATTGAGAGGCAATCATCACTTTTATCCAAACAGTTAGAACAGAATGCTGATAAAATTATCGGAACAGATTGGTGTAAATGCATAGACAAATCATTATTAGAAAAATTAAGGGAATATAGAAGATATGATGGGTCAAAAGTAAGAGATATATTAAGAGCACTCAGAAATATGGTACAGTAATAGTAATTGTTTTGTTTATTTTATTTAATTATTAAACAAAAAAAAAGAGCATTAATAAATGTAACAAATATTTGTATATTTACTCAAACAAAAAAATCTTGATTTAGCAGTCCAGTTTGGAGTCAGTGCAGGCCAAGTTAGTAATACATTAAAGGAGTCTGACAAATAGCTTAAAATTGATCCAAATTCCTATGGTTGGCTTGGTCTAAAGACCTCCTGTTGCTGCGCCACGCGCTCAAATTTCAAAAATTGTGATTTCGTGATTAGTTAAAAAATGCAGTAAATTTTTTTAAAAAAAGTGTTTCACGTGATTTTAGCTTAAAAAATTATTTTCCTTACTGCCAAATTTAGATATGATGATCGAGTATTAGTCTAAACTTAGTAATGATGATCAAAAACTAGTGATGATCATAGCGCTCAAATTTCTCATGAGTATAGTAAAGTACATGTTTTAAAAAAGAATAGAACTCTACAAAAAATAAATTTTTTGAGAAAATCTCTTTATTACATTAAAACTAAATACATATTTTTTTCTCTTTTTTTTTTTTTTTGTCATGTTAAGTAATTTTATTAATAATAGGAACATCATACATATTGTTAAATGTTACAAAAT